GGGGGGGGGGGGAGGAGCGCTAGCTTCGCGTCCCCCTGGTCTGCTGGGGGGAAGCGCCCCTCCCACACCGCCGGAGGCAGCGACAGTGGGGGAGGCACCCCGCACTAGCTGCGCCCCCCCCCGTTTGTAACTAGGGATCCGACGTAAGTCGGATTGATGTAACCCGGGGACTGCCTGTACTATGGAATTAGATAGAGGCAATAAGATATTTTCTGTCTTATTCTCTATTCCTTTTTAAAGGATTCCTAACATTCTATTTGCTTTTTTGACTGCTGCCACCCACTGAGTGGATGTTTTCAGAGAAATATCCACAATGACTCCAAGATCGCTCTCAAGTGGTAACAGCACCCATCATTTTATATGTATAGTTGGGATTATGTTTTCCAATGTGCATTTTTTGCATTTATCAACATTGAAATTCATTTGCCATTTTGTCATCCAGTCACCTAGTTTTGTGAGATCCTTTTGAAGCTCTTCATGTCTGCTTTGGACTTAACTATGTTGAGCAATTTTGTATCATCTGTAAATTGTGTCACATCACTGTTTACCCCTTTCTCCAGAGTATTTATGAATATGTTGAATAGAACTGGTCCCAGTATAGACCCCTGCAGGACACTACTAGTTACCTCTCTCCATTCTGAAAATGGATCACTTATTCCTACCCTTTGTTTCCTATCTTTTAACCTGCTATCAATCCACACGGGGACCTTCCCTCTTATCCCATAACAGCTTACTTTGCCTACATGTCCTTGGTGAGAAACCTTATCAAAGGCTTTCTGGAAATCTAATACTCTATATCCACTGGATCCCTCTTATCCACCTGCTTGTTCACCCCCTCAAAGAATTCTAGTAGATTACTAAGGCATGATTTCTCTTTACAGAAATCATGTTGACTTTTCCCCAACAAATTATGTTCATCTATGTGTCTCACATTCTAGTCTTTACTATAGTTTCAAACAATTTGCCTGGTACTGAAGTTAGATTTAACAGCCTGTAATTACCAGGATCACTTCTAGAGCCCTTATTTAAAATTTAAATAAATAAATAAATAAATAAAAGGTGTCACATTAGCTGTCCTCCAGTCATTTAGTATAGATGATGCTGTACTAGAGACAGACAGAACAGCCCTGCTACTACTAAGTACCATTTGATGTGCTGACAAGCCATCACATTGTTCTCTTGCAATGAGGTGAAGTACATGGCCTGTGTGGAGGGCCATCACAAGGCCCGTATGCCACTTGTACTCAAGACAGGGTTCAGAGGGGACTCAAACCATACAAACCCTCTGCTTAGGATTCATTGCATCCAGGTTCCGTAGGCAGCAGGATTTTGTTGGCACCCCTCCATATGGGTAACTGAGAGAAAAGATTCCCCTGAACACTCCTCTCCACCTTCCCAAATCCTGCTCTGCCATCCACAATGGATTATCACACAGGGTCATTCAGTACCTGGCCTTAACTTAACAATTGTCAGACTCATTCCAAATCAGCAGTTCCATTTTCCAATTTCTTGTCTTTCTCCTTCCTACCTGTTGCTGGTTCTCCCTTTGAGAATGTAGCCTGGCTTGAATGCACTCCCTGGTCTCTTGGAAAGCTTGTCTTTGCGACACCTCGGCTGGGTAATGGGTACACACTCCTACAATGTTTGTGCAGGAGAAGATGAGAATATTGGAGATTAGCTGCAACAAAAAAGAGAAACATGATTACAAATCTGGAAACTGACCATCAATAATAGACAGAATAGTTAAAAGTTCGGCATGCTATATCAATCATTCCACAATCCAACCATGATTGATCACAGTAGTCTTAATTTCAGTGCATCTTACTATGACATTCTTTAAAGTATAAAATTGCATACACACCATCTGTGACATTATTGGATTGTGAGATAAACATGCACAGCATTGTTGCACCCACTATTATATGTTTGTACCAGATCTTGTACAAAGTGGGCCTAATAAGATGTCTATTAAAAGTTGATGATTCACTGATTCTGTTTACATTGCTCATAGGCATGTATCATTTTTGTATTTGATGTTATGAATATATGTACTTGTATTTCAATGTCTTCTTCAGGGAGATATCAGCAGGAGGCTTGTCCAAACTATTCAGAAAGGGTTGATAGTCATGTGAATAGCAGTACTTCACTGACAATGCACCTCAGGTGGTGCCAATCCACATACGATGAACTTTGCTGTGAATGGTCAGACCAGCAAGTAAGCAACAGCTGTCATCTAAAAAGGACTGAGTCATGCACGGGCAGGTGACTTGCTCATGTGACAAACTCCATCTTGGGACATACTTTCACACAGCAAGAATAGCGGGAGTCCCTCCACATGGGAAAAATTATAAAAAGGGCCCTGGAGGTTGCTCCATTTGTCTTCAATCCGGTCTTCATTCTAGCTAATCACCAAGGAAGCATCTCTGCTATAAACTGGAGTCTGGAAGGACTGGTAACCCATCCTAACAGAAGCTGTATTCCAGAGACTTATAAAACAGCAGATTTTTCCATCCCTGCTACAAGCCTACATGAAGAACTTGGCAACTGTATGTAATTTGATTCCTTTAATGATTTTAACTCTCATCCTTGCCTTCTTTCTTTTTATTAATAAACAATTAGATTTTAATGTCTAAAGGATTGGTACGCAGTGTTCTTTTGAGTAAGTTCTGAGGTATAAATTGTCCTGGGAATGTGGCTAGTTCTGAAGAACCTGTTCAGATTTGGTGAGATTGATTTTTATAACCTCTCAACAGTGTAAGCAGTGGTACTGGTGGTGGCGCAAGAAAGCTTGAGAGTATCTAGGCCAGGGGCATTGCTTGTATGACTTCTTGCTAGCCAGTGCTCTTTGTGACTGTTTTGGTGTGTCTCGCAGTGGAGGATCCCCAGTCTTGGGCTGTAAGTAGTCCTACCCCTAAGCAATCTGCCCGGATTTGACCCTCTCACCAGTGCCCCCAGAAATCCCCTGTTTTACACTCTCAGAAGTGTATTTCTTTGTATTCATGTGAAAGGAGAATAGTATTATTTCCCCTTTATCATCAGGGTTTTGTTGGATAAGTACTTTATCCTATTGGTAGACCAGTCATTACTTGAGAACATGGCCCACTCACACTCACAAAACTAGTATATTGCATATTTGGTGCATGGGCTGCTTGCAGTCAGAATGAGGGCACCTATTAATGCTAGTTTTCAGTGCATGAGTGCATTTTTGGCAGTGGTTACAGTGCTTTCCTTGAATTCAGGATTTGATTCACAGCAAAGAACATAAATGTAAAGATCTTCATTCCTCCCTCCCCCAAGCAACGGCTAAAGCAATTCTTTAATTAATGAGGACAAGAATAATATTACATCAACACAGTATTAAATGCAAATCAGCCAAACTTAATTCTTCCTGGCCTTTGGAGGGCCAGTAAAAGTATTTGTGTGTCTTTAATATCATATAATATTGGAGAAATCTAGTACGTATGGAAATGAAGCAGACATCATTTGAGCAAAAGAAAAGGTTACAACATTTTGTGGAAAAATGTAGTTTTAGAGTCACGATTCCAGGAGGACATTCAGTAGAAATACTCGCTTACAGACATCAAAGAAAACTATGGCTTTTCTAGAATTATCCCCCCCCCCAAAAAAAAAAAATCACTGATGTTCATAGTCACAGAAAAGAAAATTCAATAAAGAAATGGAAGGACTTCCATCGGAATTACAGAAAGCTCTGCACGTTGCTTTATAGATAGGTTGATTGTGATGGACGGCCTGCAAATCCAGTATTACAAACAAACTCAATGAGTTAACACTAAATAGCATTATTCATATAACTAGCTTAAACTGACTCCAGAGTTCTCTGTATTGAAACTACTTAGTCAGTACGCATAAAATACAGTCCTGAACACATATACACACCATAGTTCATATAAAAATTGTGACAAAGCGTCTAATGTCACACGGCGGGTCTTGTGCAACTGATAGCAGTAGGTTGAGTAGTATCTCTCTCTGCCTGGGGAAAACGGCAGCTCCCTATCTAATTGCTCGTCTCAGTGGCCCACTATAGGGGCAAACTGTTGTCTGATTTAGCCACTCCCATCATTGGCATACTAGGAGAAAAAGACAGGAAAAAAATCTCTTCCTCTGCAGTGGCCCTCCAGACATGGAAGCAACAGACTAAATTTCTTTTTTAGCCTTTTGCCCATTGGTCAGGGTTTTCCTTCCTCAGGATTCTGGAGCCCAAAAGGGCTTTTCTCTCAACAGGGCTCTCCCTGCTCCTCACCTCTGTACCACCAGGGTTCCTTCCTTGTACCTGACAGCATCTCTATGTTCCTGTTCTCCTGCAGCATTTCTTCTTCCCCAGGTGCCGACTTTATGCTGCAGAGCCTGCATCAGTGTAACCATTAGGATTTTTAGCAGTTACAGTCACATTTTTAAACAGTTTTTTACATCCCATCACCTGGAGTCTCAACTAGTTCTAGCAGGTTCTAGAATGGCTCCAGGTGTCTTAACTAACCTACCTGCCTTAACTGAGTTCTAGGAGGTCCTTAATTGACCCCAGGTGTCTCAATCAATCTGGAGTTACTGCTGATTTGGCTGCCATGGCAGCAGGCATTTGTTCAGACTTGGGATAATTTATCTGCCATTTATTACTTTCTGGTAGCCCCAGAGGCTTCTCCCCCTCACAATATATAACACATGACGGTTGCACTTTATAATATTTCATTGTAATTGCCATGGTGTGAATGTTAATTAAGTCTCCTGAAGCCAATGGACTTGCTCTAAATTTAAATATGTGTAAGAGAAAATAGACTCAGAGTTGTCAATACAGAGACACCCATGAAAGTTTAGACGCACCCTTCAAGCTCCTCAAAGCTCTCATTCAGAAGTGAGATGGCCTTAGTTTGCGGTAGTTTAATCCTTCAAAGGTATTAATCAATTCCTTTTAACAATCCTGAGTATTCCCATGTAGACAAGCCTTCACTAGGCAAAAGATCTCACTCCTACAATGAGCTCTAATGCAGGCAGACCCCTGTGCCAGCACAAAGCCCTGTTGAAGTCAGAGGGGGTCTACAGATGCAGCTACAATTCCGGCATTGGTGTCTTAAATTGCTCAGCTGTCTCATTCATGGCACAACATCCAAGATGTCCACGGAGACAGATAATATCCAATGGGCTCAACAAACATGATCAAAGCAACATATAGATGGTACCTAAAATAGGAACATGATTTTCAGAGGGTTCCATTTACTTCATTTCAGACAAATCCACAGGACTGCCGAGACTGATTTATGAAAGCGACTCAGAAAATCACACTATACAAGACTGAGATAACAAATTATACTGCAATGAACATTTATCAGCAATGGATGTAAGCTGGTATTTACCCTCCTAAACGAAAGCTGATTTAGAGTGTAATATTACATGGCTTGAACAAAAAGAGAAATCTACAGTATAATGTTGAGAGTATCAAGTATCTGCAAAGATTTAAGGCTCAGCTTTTGCTATTCAAAGCAGTGTGCTGCATTTTGCTTTGGTAATATTTCTCTTAGGCCTCACAGTCCACCTGATATTCCCCACATTATTTTATGAACAGCGTGTGAGGAAGGGTACTGTACTTGGCATATGATTAAAATCACTTTGTTCACAGGTGTTTTAAAAATAAATTAAGGCAAAACTAAAGATTTTCTGTCTCATTAATTTTTCCATAGCCCTCTGTCTACTTAATACAAATGAATTTATATCCTGTTTGCCAAATGGTACTACTGTACTTACTTATCAGTTTCCTTGCAGTTTTGCTATGGTAACCAGTTTCAGTCCCAAGAGGAAGGAGATGATGTAGATATTAAAACTGGTTCCCTCAGTTTCATAGCCCGAAAACAGAAAACATATTATTGGCAGCTATTTCAGGCAATTTATGCTTGTAAAAATGTTCTTAAGGGGGAATGAGAAAATGTAGATTTCTATTTTGGGGTTGGAGTCTCTCTCTCCTGCCCATCCAAACATTAGACCATGAGATCTATCCATAATCCTCTGATTTTGGTCAAGGCTGTTTCATAAGGACTCTATTTCATGTATGTATTATTTGTATCTAAGATACCTATTTGGCCCCCATTAACACAGTGCTTGAATACATGATAATTAACACATTTGCTCTCATATAAGTCCTGTGAGGTAGGAAAGTGCTACCATTCCCATTTTACTCAGAGATCAAGGGCCAGATTGTAAAAGATGCAAACAGGGACTTAGAGGTATTTTAACAGTGTTTAGGCACCTAATTCCTATAGAAATTACTTCAATTTTTCACTTTGGAAAAATAAAATTACACTAGACAGATTCTAGTCACTTTCACTTTGATTCTCATATATTAGCCCAGGGCTGGACAAAATACAGACCTCCAAGCCACCGGATCCACCCGCAGACCATCAGGGAGCCTCAGGTAGCTCCCTACCTGCTCCACCCCACATGCCACTCAGAAAAGCAGCTGTAGAGACCTGTTTGTCTTTGAACAGCTGCAAGCCCAGGGCCTTGAGCACAATCCCATTGGCTGAAAACCGGCTGATAGGAGCTGCCTGTTTGAAGAACATGCAGGGCAGTTCCCCCCTCCCTTGAGGCTCGCAGCCATTCAAAGATGCACGTGACCTGAGAAACCTGCTGGTTGGGAGTCACCCAATTAAGTCTCCCAGCCAGAACATGCCT